GCCCGAGACGATGGAGCCCGAGCCAATTGAGCCAGCGCCGGCCGAGTCAGAGACGATTGAGCCCGCGACGGCGGACGCAGCTGATGCCGCCGACGTGATAGAGGTCGCTGCTGTTGCTCTGGTGTGTGCGGTGGAGTGTGCACCCCGTGATGGTTTGGTAAAAGAAACGGCCCTCGCTGTGGTGGATGAAACTGTGGAGGACGTGCCGGTCGAGACCAAGGTGTTTGATACATCGTTGATGTCGACAAAACGCGAAGCTGCGGTTGATGAGGTTGAGAAGGATAATACCTTCGATGATGTTCAAGAGGTGGTGGAACAGGCCGTATCCGAAGCTGCTTCGGTGATGGCCGCGGAAGTAGCACCGACGACCATGATTACCATGATGACAGCGACGACTGAGATGACACACCTGACTGAGTCGACGGATGCAACCGATTTTATCGTTGAAACAAGACCTCTAGTTGATGACCAATTCATCAGGGCGTCAAAGGAACATACGATGGACAAGGTGTTGCCACTCGAGGAGCCTTCACCCGAAAACCCCGATGATGTTGATCTGGAGACTGAGGTTGCAGCGACTGCACAGGACTTGGTGAAAGCGGTTGAAGTGCAAGCGACTCCCTCGTACGTGGTTTCTGCTGCTGCTGTAACGAGTGCCGTCATCGGTACGCTGCTCGGACTGATCGACACGGTCGAGCTTGAGCTTGAAGGACCGGACGATTGGGACACAGCGGCGGTAATCCACACAGCACCGGAAGAATCAGACAGCAGCGTCCTGCCACTCGCGCGTGACGTCGCCACGTCCTCAACTTATCGCAAAACTAAAGACGTGCGACCCGAATCTAGTGACGACGCAGTCCGAGATGCCGACTTTGTCGAGCTCGTCCGACTGCCCGAGCCAAGTCCCGCTGAATTATCCGCTGCAGCCGTCGGCGTGGCCGTCGTGGGAGCTCTTTTGGACACCGTGGACGCAGTGGATATCGATCCGTGAAGCAGGAATAGAAAATAATTATACTGTAAATAGATGGACATTGGCAAGATGTGTAGCATTGGTATTTTATCTCTACTGTTCCTTGGACGCTTCGGCCACCCCCATCACGGCGTCTACCAAGTCAGGGAAGGCCTGCTCGTCCAACGGAGGGTACGGCTGCAGGCTATTCCAGTCACCAGTCTCGAGCACGCTATGCAGTCCCTGTACTGTTGTCGCGAGGCAAAACTTTTGGTCGGCCATTGCCTCGGCCAGCTCCGCCTGGTGGTTATCCATTAGCGCCGTGTTGACGACTACCACGAGCATTTTCTTGAGTGCCAGACCGTCCATGATGGAGCCGGCGCCAGCGTGACTGATGATCAGGTCGGCCTCAGATACGTCGCGCTTGTACTGCGGGTCATGTCGATAGAAGCTCAGTGTTAGTCCTGGAAACGTCGCGCGCGGCTGGTGCTCGCCGTGTCCGATCTGCATCCGCAGAGACGTGAAACCGCGCGCCACTAGCGCGGACAGACACGCGTCCGTGTCAAGCGCCACGATCAGCGCATCGAACTTGGTCGTCCCGACAGTCACGAAAGCGTGCATGCAAGCGATTTATGACTAATTGAGCCAGTAAAACAAATTTACGAGAAATTAACGTTATTATTCAGAAAATTGAAACCCAAAGACTACTGTATAAACTTGTTCTCTCCGTGCGAGGAAGCTTTGTTCAAATTGATTCGTATTTTGGACGACTACAGTACTACAAGTCACTGTCTATAGAGCAGTTTGTTCTTAAAGCTCATCCTTCTCAGCAGCGCTGCCCAGGATTTCGTTCATGATGTCGTCGTCCTCGTCGTCCTCTTCGATCTCATCCAGCTGCACGTCCTTGCCGTCCCATGACTTGACCGTCTTAATCTCCGGCAGCTCGTCGAATCCAACCGTCGACTCGCGGCCCTGAATGACATTCTGCAAAAACTCAGCGATCGCTTCCGCTGTGAAGGCACCGCGCTGCACCACGTATCGCTTGCGGTCCAAGTTGATAGCCACCAGCGACGGGTACCCGAACGTCAGCTCAAAGCGGTTTTCAAAGTCAAGCTGGTCGCCTCCCTGCATCCATCCGAACTTGAATGGCTTGCCACGCACCAGCTTCGCGGCTTCTTCGAGTGTGTTAATGTAGCCCTCACGTGCGGTCTTACCACCCTCAGTAATGTGGGGCAGCACGCTAATAACGCAACTGGACTTGCCCTCACAAAAGTCTGTCACCGCGTCAGCGGAGACAAGCTCTTTGATGCGCAGGCCGCCACCCAAGGCATCTAGCGCCGCGAGACCAAACTCCGTGATAGCTGATGCTGTACGTTCACCCTGATAATCGTCAGCGTCCTGGGGACCCATAGCATTCGGTCCGAACACCTTAATGGTCGGGAATCCCTGGATGCCGTACTCCGAAGCTTTCAACTCGTTGGCCGTCGCCTCTAGCGCAGCGACCTTTACGGATCCCTTCAAGTCGGATGCTGCTTGCTCCCACTCTGGGGCCAGAGCCTTGCAGTGACCACACCACGGGGCGTAGAACTCCACAAGCCACACGTCTCCACTGTTAAGCACCATCTCATCGAACGTGTCGTCAGTGAGAGTGATGACGCTGCTCTTGCCACTGGGTGACTTCTTCTTGGGCTGCGGCTTGGGCTTCCGCTTCTTTTTCTCTGTGCTGTCTGACAGACGCGCCTTGACCATACGTCGTGAGGCTGTGAGTGCGGCGTCCACGAGGCCCTTGGCCGTGCGCTCGCCGTCAAAAGACAAGGGCTTGGCTTTGTTCTCAGTGAAGATCTTAATGGTAGGGAAGCCGCGCACCTCGTACTCATTCACGAACTCCTCGTGCTCTTGGCAATCAATGGCCGCCACATTCACGACGCCCTCCAGCGCCTTGGCCGCCTTCTTGTACTCGGGCGTCAGCTCCTTGCAGTGACCGCACCACGGCGCGTAGAACTCCACAAGCCACACGCCTGAGTCCTGTTGCACCTTCTCGCGGAAGCTCTCCGGATCCAGCACCTTCACGCTGTCCTCACTCGAGTACATGCCGCGTACGCTGGCAAACAGACTCGCCGCCGCGCATACCAGCACTGCTACGCCTCGCATCGTTTTAATTCCTACAGCTCAATTACGAAAATGGCTGCAAAAGATATTCGAGTTCGCCACGTGAAATTTTGTGATTGGTCAAAACTTTCATAATCAGCGATTGGCTGAAATTTAGCATGAGCAACGTCAAGGTCGAAAAGTCGTTATCTTGGTGACCATGAGCTCCGAGCTGCGGCACCGGAGCAAGTCCATGCATGGCACCACCACGGGCTTGTTGCTCAAGAAATTCCAACTGGATTCGCAGCGTTCTCACGCAATTGCACAGGCGCGAAGTAAGAGCACAACCAAGCTGCAAGTGGAGACGGATAGCAGTACCGACGTCATCCAGGCTATCATAAATGCGGCCGTAAATATTCATTCCAACACACGAAAAAGTTACAAATTTTAACGATTATTGTATGATGCCAGCCTGGATGTTATCCTGGAGACGACGGATCAAGCGACATTGCAGACCGCTACAATTTTTTCGTGCATCGGAAACGCTTTTTGGTAATAACAGGGCTTAATTTATTTTTTCAAGAATAATACTGCTAACACGTTGGTGTTGACAGTTCGCGCCGTGTTCGCTGGGTATTTTCCCCGAGAGAAGTCGTTTCCGACAAGCCCTGATATGGTGCATCACGTGGAAACGCTTCGACCAGTTTATCCTTTTCTTAATTCTTGCAAACTCGATTATCCTTGCCATCGCCGACTACAGCAAAGTGAATGACAAAGGAGACTTGGACAGCTCCCAATCCACCCGAAATGCTATCGTGACGTCGGCTGATACGATATTTACCATCCTTTTCGCGGTCGAGTGTACGATGAAGATCATCGCCATGGGATTATTCGGTGAGCAAGGCGCTTACTTGATGGACCCATGGAACTGGATGGACTTTATTGTGGTGTTCATTGGGTAAACCACATTGATTTTTTTTCTTTGACACGCCAATACACTAAGCACTTGCTCTTATTTGCATAGCATCTTAGCCGTGATCCCGGGTATCCCCAACGTATCGATGCTAAGAGTATTCCGAGTACTGCGTCCATTACGAAGCTTAAATGCCGTCGCCGGTAAATCTTTTGTTTTCAGTTTTTGCAAAAAGTTCACTGCTTTTGGTACTGAATATGTTGAATTTGTCTACTTGCAGGCATGAAAAAGCTTGTGTCAGCATTACTCAAATCTATTCCAGAGCTACTGACAGTCGTGGCATTTCTTTGCTTTCTCTTTTTTCTCTACGGGGTTATTGGTGTGCAGTTATGGAGTGGTGTACTACATCCTCGGTGTCGTATCACTCCGTATCCTCTCCGCTTGGACTCCGAAGTCGAGTTTAGCAATTTCGGCGAGTACAAAGCGACAGTAGTAGCGAACTTCTCGCTTTTTCCGTGTGTTGACGAGCACAACGAACAGATTCCGCTCTCGAATGGATCTTGGTCACACGATACGTCTCCATGGAAAACTCCGCGGCAATGTTTCTGGCCTGTTGCGGATGAATCCCCGGCTCGGACTTGCTCTCTCGGCGATGATCAGTTTCGTCAGTGTCCTGATGGACAGGTGCGTCATTATATTTCGCGCTAAAACTTACAGATCAAAGTCTGAAATACTAAGGAATAATGTTATGCACCTTGTGTGTTAGATTTGTGGATCCGATTATGACGACTTTGGAAATTTTCGGTTTACTCACCCCGACTCGCTGATCGTTCAGCGTATTCTTGCCAGTTCAACTTACAGCGCGGACTTGAACTGGGGTTTCCTGCATTTTGACAACATTGGATCAGCATCACTAGCAATTTTTCAGTGTATCACACGAGAAGGCTGGTAAGTTCCAGCTATTGATCTGTACAATAATCTTTGGTAAAATGAACTTATTCATTGAAAATATTATCAATGTCAGGAGTGATATAATGTACATGCTTCAAGATGCCGGATATGGAACGGTCGCAGTCATCTATTTCGTGTCATTTATCATCTTTGGCTCCTTTTTCATGCTCAACTTGACACTGGCAGTCATTTGGGACAACTTCTCGGAAGCCTCCTTCCTCGAAGCGGAAGAGAGAAAGGCACAGAAGAAAGCGAAAGCTGTTACACTTGCACTACGAGCAGCGCAAGCTGCAAATGACCGCGTTTCGCCTTCTCGCGTGCAGATTTGTTTTGCTGCAATAGTCAACCACTGGATGTTCAATGTGGTCCAGACAATCTTGATTTTACTCAACACCATCATTTTATCACTGGATCAGTATCCTATCGACCCGAAGCTCAACGAGACGGTGGAGAAGATAAATTTCGCTCTCACACTCGCGTTCTTTATTGAGGCTTTGTTAAAAGTTATTGGTCTGGGGTGGAAAGGATGGCGCGAAGACCGATACAACCAATTTGATGCCATGATTGTTGTGATCAGTACTGTGGAATTGATCCTTTCACCACCGGTGTTTATACGTCAACAGGGTACGTCTTCGACAGCGGCTTCCTTCTCTGGCTTACGATCTTTTCGACTGTTCGCTTTGTTCAAACTTGCACGGTAAGTTTAAATTCTAATACGAGGCGTTTTGTTCTGATAGATTAATGCATTGCTTTGTATTTTTGCTAGTTCTTGGCCCTCCCTACAGAAACTATTGACAACGATGATCAGTACATTGCAAGAAGTCGGCAACTTCAGTGTATTATTCCTGCTGTTTCTGTATATCTACGCGCTGATCGGGATGCAAACGTTCGCTAATCAGTTCCGCTTTGATGAATATGGATTTCCAGTGGGTCGGAACCACGAGGCTGCCTATATCCCAAGGGCAAACTTTGATACGCTGCTATGGTCAGTTGTCACTGTATTTCAGGTATGTAACGCTCGTTATCTGCGATGAAAAGTGGACTTCTTATGCTTGTCCTGTAGATTCTAACAGGCGAAAACTGGAATGTGGTAATGATGGACGGGTGGAGGTCATCTGGTTGGTCTGCAGTGCTATACTTTGTGTCACTTGTCGTGCTGGGAAATTTTATCGTGCTCAATTTGTTTTTGGCAATTTTACTCGGAAACTTTGACGAGTCAAATGACGAGGAAAGAGATGCCGAACGCGAAGCTTTAAAGCGTAAATCTCGAGTGGCTCCGACAATTAATAGCCCGTTATCCCGTAACGATGCATCCTCTCGGCGTGATTTGGACTATCGCTCAAGCACTACAGAGGAGCGGAGCATGAGTAGAACGCTAAGTCGAAGTCGAACACAAAGTCGAAGTCGGTTAACTGCTGGTGGTCGCCGAGAAGCGGTCTCACCATCTTCCAATGTCTTTAATGATCTCCCAGGTGCTGCGCGCCGCCAAGGCTCCTCTTTTCTAAAGAACCGACTGGGCTTGCATCGCTCCTTGTTTATTCTGGCACTGGACAACCCCATTCGAAAATTAGCAATGCGAATTCTACTGCACCCCCAATTCGACAATTTGTCACTGGCGTTGATAATTATCAGCACTGTAGAGTTAGCTATTGACAATCCGCTCAGTCCACCGGATAGCTTGTATACAACCATTCTATCGCGGTTTGACTCAGTTTTGACCGTGCTGTTCATGATCGAGGTTGTTATCAAGATTATCGCGTATGGATTCGTACTGCACAAAGGTGCTTATCTCCGCAATAGTTGGAATGTTATGGACTTTGTCATCACAGCGACTGCCGCATTTTTCATGTTTCAAGGAAGCTCGCAGTTCAAATTTGTAAAAACTCTACGGACATTTCGGGCTCTTCGCCCTCTGCGTATGATTAATCGGAACCCTGGTCTAAAGCTTGTGGTGAGCTCGCTGATTGCCTCTATCCCACAGATTGTGAACGTTATTATGGTATGTTTGCTGGTATTCATGATCTTTAGCATTTTAGCTGTCAACAACTTGAAGGGAAGATTCTACAGCTGTCAAGGCGACGTATTCAGTGCTTTATCGTCAGCCCAGCAAGCGTTTATTGCTTCACCAAGACTGTGGACCAATTTGACAATAGCAGAACAGAATTGGTTCGACCACTCGGCATCCGAAGTGCTGAGTGTCTTTTCTAGCGATGGACCTTTAACATCGCGGATAGTATGTAATCTCTTTGGAGCAACGTGGGCTAAAACTATTCCGCAGAATTTTGACAACGTGATTCACGGTATCCAAACTTTCTTTGAGATGACTACAACGGAAGGCTGGGTCACTATCATGCTTACCAGCGTGGATGCAACGGAAATCGATATGCAACCGATTCAAAACCACCACGAAAGTTGGGCATTTTTCTTCATCTGCTTTATTTTGGTGGGAACGTTCTTCGTCATGCAACTCTTTGTCGGCGTTGTGATCGAGAATTTTAACAATATGAAAGAGAAGTTGGACGGAACCTTTCATTTATCGCAGATTCAACGGGAATGGTTGAATATCAACGAAGCCATGCTAAATCTACGACCTGTACGAAAGCTCAAAACGCCACTTCATACGACACGGCGTGCATTATTTCGCATTGCTCTTAGCCCAACACTGGAACTCTTGATCATGGGCTGTGTGTTACTAAACACTGTGTTCATGGCTATGGATTACTTCGGAGAAGAAGATCTTTACGAGACCGGCTTAAACTATCTGAATTACTTTTTCTCGGGCATTTTTGCACTTGAAGCTACGGTGAAGATCATTGGTTTGGGTAAATATTACTGGAAGGAACCCTGGAACATTTTCGATTTCATTGTTGTGCTTGGCACTCTCTTCGGTGTGGTCTATCAAATGTTTGGCGGGAGCTCTGTTGGCACCGCGGCCTCGACCGTGCGAAGTTTCCGTGTGGGGCGCTTATTCCGATTGGTGCACTCTGCGCCTTCGTTGCGCCAACTTTTCAATACGTTGCTTATAACACTACCGTCACTTGCAAATATCGGTGGACTTCTCTTCCTGATCTTCTTCATCTATGCTGCTATGGGGGTGCAGTTGTTCGCGAAAATTAAGTTTGGCGAGCTGATTACTTCGACGGCAAATTTCCAGTCGTTATTGGCCGCGATGGTCACACTAGTACGGACTTTTGATCCGTATTTCATCTTTTGACTTTTATTAACATCAGTTTGACTAGGCTCGTTGTGCTACAGGGGAAAGATGGAATGATATGATGTACGAACTCGCGAACCAAGAAAACTGTACACCAGACCCGCCCTACGACCCCAATTCATGTGGTATCAGCAGTGATGTAGACTGCGTGCCGTTAAATGGTTGCGGCTCCCCAGTGGCTTTTATCTATCTGTACAGCTTCACGCTACTGGTTACTTTCATTCTTCTGAATATTTTCATCGCAGTGATCTTGGAGGGGTTCGCAAAAGAGAAAGACAGAGAAGATGGCGTTTTGCTTCCCCAACATGTACGCCCCAGCTGCGAATTATGGTACTTGGGAAGCAGACTCACATTTTGTTTGTGTGGGTAGTACGAAACTTTTGTGAAAAAGTGGTCTGAATTCGATCCTGAAGCGACAGGATTCCTCGAGTGGCATTTATTGCCATCATTTCTTGCCACATTAGAGCCTCCAATGGGGTTGGGAGCTAACCTTAGATCTTCGTCAAAAGATATTCAGGTTTTTGTAGGTACGTAGCGCTCTCGTGTGTGCTCGTTTTTTTTTTATGGTTCAGCATTTATCACTTGTGTCGTTTGTAGCCTATCTTGATGTGCCGATATTTCGTGATAACAAGGTATTTTTCAACGATGTTGCTCGACGTGTGGGAAAGTTTGTCATTGATGAAGTGAGTATTAGTCGGCGTTTTATCTTTCGCTTTACTTGCATCAATACTAACGTGTAAGTGCATTGGCCTCCCATAGCTAAGCGATCAGCCTCTCGACGCTCTACCCAAGTCACTTAATCTAGAGAAACGGTGGCGCAAATACTTAGCTGGACGGAATATCCGCAAAAGCGACCTATCGGTTCACAGATTAAACCAGTTTAGTGCTGCTACTCTCATCCATCGATCAGTGAACGCTCTCATATTCCGCGAAGAGCTCAACGCCGGTGTCCAACTGTTCGCGAAACGATCAAGATCTCGCGTTGCATCTCTCGTGACAGTCACAGAGCAGTAGAGACTGGAACACGAGCATGACATTTGTACGCTTTACGGTTCAAATGTAATCTGGAAAGGATCTGCAACCAGGAAATACGGGGTGATCGCTCCCGAATTAGAAGTCGAAAACGACTGAATCAGGAAAATAAAGCTCTAATTTTGATTTGCCCAGGAGCAAGGATGAGCCGAAGGCTGAGTGCCCGAATGAAGTCCCTGTCGGAGCGGTCACTGCGCAGGAGTAGCAACGTGACTCCTAGCAAAAGTAATGACCTTCGTCAGCAAAGTCTTGTCCGCAATGAAAATGACGATCAAGAGGAGGAGGTCCCTCACCCGCATATCCAGGATAAGAGGGGCTGGGCTTCTTTCGTACAGCGTAATTCCGTTCTTCGAACCTACCAGAAGCGGCTTGTTTTCAACAATGACATCAAAGTCGCCACACTCGAGTTTGCCATAATGCTTTTGTCGGTGGCACAGTTGCAATGGTCGTACAGATCCCCATATTGGGTACGTGGTATGCTCGTACGTTAAAAGCTCCATGCATTTCGTGGAAAATTAAATTCTCACATTATTACCAGCGCGAGAAACGAGCATGCGCGAATCGATCCAGTTGCATTGATACACTTCCAGACAGCAAATTCATTGCTGTTGATGCAGTTCGAGTTATTATCGCACTGCTGGGATTGGTACGGCTGGTTATCCGCTCAAGCCAACTATGGAAGATGAAATGCCAGAAGAGACCTATAATGTGTAGCAAAGTGGTGCGTCTGTTTAAGATGACAAATTGCTAGTGGGAAGACTGATTTGATTTCCCAATTACGATCTAGGATTTTATTCTGTGGTACGGCTTGGAATTGGCTTGCTCAGCCATCTTTCCATACCCGGGCCTTGAGACTTTTTTTCCGACACTGCGCGGTGACATTTTTGTCGTACTGAGCGTCTCAGTTTTTTTACGCACCACTAGCTGGAGACAGTGGCTTTATTATCCATACCCGATCCGGCAGAAGGAAAAGGTGGCTAGCTTTAGTGGTAATCTCGGTAAGTTCGCGTAGCTCCCTATGTACAATTTGACTCTACCTTGACTCTACTCTCCAATTGTGTAACTGCGAATAGAATTCAGCTACCAGCAGTTTGTGATTAAGAAGGTGGTCGACGACTCCCCTCTGACAAAGCTTGTTACTTTCTACACAGTGCTTGGGGCAAGTGTAGCCTATGTACTTCATGTTATGGAAACCATTAATGGCCAGTGCTCATGGATGCAAGACACCAGTGAAATTGTGAGAAGTGAAGACGCAATATGTTACGAATTGTACATTTCCGACTCGCTTTGGATGGTCTTCATGACGTTTCTCTCTATCGGGTAGGTTCGTCATTGTGGCCAAAATTGTCCATATTTCTCTAATACTGTACACTCATTTTCTTCTAGATATGGAGATGTATCTCCGAAAACTGGACGAGGTCGAGCCATTATTGCTATTACAGCGTGTATTGCTGTGGTGCTAGACGCTATGTTTTTCTCTGTTGTCATTAAGAAGTTTAGTTTCTCCACTATGGAAGCGCGGGTGCATGCTTTCCTCTACCGATCGGAGCTCCACAAGAAGAAAGACATCAGCGCAGTTATGGCGCTGCAGGCTACTTTTCGCTACATCAAATCGTACAAACACTCTCTAATGTGGCATCAAGAGCGCAGTTCCAAAGCCTTCTATCGACCACTGTCTGATGTGCGTTCAATTCTCACTACAACGACTATTATGACAAATTGCTAACTCCATTTTTTTTTTTGTGTTAGCGCTTGCCGAACGAAGTCAAAAAGAAGCTTTACCTCTCTCGTTTTCAATCGAGTCTTAAGCAAATTATGAAGTACAATATGGACGGCGACCCGCTCAATGGATTCTCCAAGCATGTAGAAGTCATCACAGCAGGACTTGGAGCTACATTCGCTGACATGCTACGGTTGAAGAAAATGTACTATCGCCGAGCTCGTGTGCTCGAGCAACGAAAAAAACTAGCAAGCCGACGAGCATTAAGCATGTGCATGCCTTCAAGTGGACGTCCAACGACGGCACTTACCGGTGCAGCCAAGCGTTTTCTTGCACATCCGGACACACCAAAAATTGACTCAACCAGCGAGCCTATTAACTCGGTGATCAGGTCAACGAATGCTGTTACAGTAGACTCAATCACAGGATTGGAAAGTTTAAGCACAGCCTGGAGGGACGAGATGCAACGGAAATGCGAGGCCACAATGCTTCTTTTGAAGAAGATTGAGAGAAACATGAAAGATATTCAGCGCTCGTAAAGAACGCAACCAAGATAAGAAGACAACTGCAATTCTTAAGCGTAAGTTAGCTTAACTGTATGCACGGTTAGTCTCGTAATGGGTATGTAGACATCGATCAAGAAGGAGGAATTTATCTCCAGCTTTCAGCAAGAAGTTTCCCGAAGTGCTCGTCGCTAGCCACCACCATCGAGATGTCTGAGTACACCTCGGTAAAATCGCGGCGCGATATTTCAGCATTCGCATCCTGGCACCAAGCACCAAGGTTAGGAATACCACCACTACCGTTATAAACACCATGATGAAAAACACAAACCTGATTTGGCCACAGGTTCCTGTACTCTGCATTTGCATCGCTCTCTGAGAGTTGTTGCGCACCAACGCGCGCGTCAATGGTGGGATCGTAGGCGTCGCAAAGGGCTGCAAGTGTAAGTTTCCCATCAGGCGCTTGTTGTGCCAGTCGGTCGTAAGCAGCATCGACAAGAGCTCGGCGACTTTCAGAGATGGGAACTCGCAACGCCTTGATAAGCTCAGCTAGCGGGAAGAAACCAGCCTTTCTTTTATCAAAGCTGTCGAAAAGCAGGTCCAGATGCTCGTCGCGCAGAGGAAGACAGTTGTGCAGCTGACGGATAACCCACTTGGCTTCTTCATGCTTGAGATGCCCCGCTCCCTTAGTGTCAGCTCGACCAAGAGCAACAAGGAACGTCCGGAATGTGTACAAGCTCTCAGAAGCAAAACAGCTTCGAAGCACATCGATTACAGACGCTCCACTCGCAAACTGAGGCAACGAGCGATCATCTTGAGCTTCGTGGGTCGACTGGGCAAGCACGAACGCCCAAGTGTTAACATCGACACTGTGAAGCCCTTCAGTATCGGGAGTGCGTATGCCCTCAGTTTCAGCTGCCAGATGGTGGCGTTTACCGGTTCCTCTAACGGAATGAGCGCAAACCTCGAGCTCCACGCCAAAGTCAGTGGGCTGCTTGCTGCCACTACTGGCAAATAGTGCCTGTCCGGTCATCTTGTGTACGATGGCAATGCGATCCCCGGCCATCACTTGTTGACCAGCAACCAGCAATTTCTCCGTTCCAGCCAAGTCTGCCTTGGCACAGATCCAAAGAGCGCTACTATCCGCTTCAGTACTTAACCACACGCGCTGCTTGTACGTGATAGGACTCATGGATCGTTCAGTTTTTAAACCGGACTTCAGGAAAAGAGGCGATTTTAGTAAGACGCTCTTATCATCCACTAGTAAAGCCTCATTGCACACGATGAGGAACGTATCATCGTAGCGCAGTGGATCGCTTGGGGCGCTCAGGTCTAAGCCACTACGAGCTACTGCCGCTTTCCACGTCTGAGGTGACACTAGACGGAAAGTATTGCGAGACACTGGGGTGTTTGAAGACATGGCGGTCACGAGATACTCGTCCGAGCCGATCGACGGGGTCTCTTCGAAGATGTTGCATGCCAGCACCGCATCTGATTCGAGGTGACCGAGAGCCAATGCTTGATTGAATCGGATACGACCGTCGGGATCGAAGGAACGAGGTGCCTTCTGGTTCAGGAACGCCGCCTTAAGTGTATGCGTAGCCAGCAATGATCCTTGTGCCTTGCGCAGCGTAAACTCCTTCATCCGAGCCTCGTCCAGCATTAAATCCTCATTCCAGTTACCGATGCGCGTTATAGGCGCATAGCGCCCAGCACCGACAAGTTGTTGCGGTGTGAACTGCATGCTCAATCCGATCGATTCTTGTGAAAATGACACTAGGCGTCGAGTCGTCGTTGGTTACCAAGTGACTCTCTGTAGCAGTGCGAAACCATGCACGTCGACGAAATATCCTTCCTCTTGTTGCTGTTCGTCGCTTTGGCTGCTCGATTGGCATCAGCTGCGTCGGTCATCTCCACAGTCACCACGTCAACCACCACAAAATCCACTGTGCTTTATCCAAGCTTGGTCGAGTGCGTATGCAACACAACACTAGCGTCAGCGGCTGTGGTGAAAACCTCGACGGGTTCTTCCACTCAGACACAAAAGTACGTCCTGCCGAGCTGCTTGGAAGACGTGTTTGCTGAGACTGGAATCCGCTGGTACTTGAACGGTCCGCTGTTGCCTGGAGTCACGTACTGGCGTGATGGTCCACCTAAAGATTATTCCGCGGGTCGAGCTGCACAGCGACTTGTCCGACTTGGCTATCGCTGCTCTCGCGTCCAGCTATACGACTCCTCTGACCCCTACTATTGAGAAATATCGAGATAAACAGAAACACTGAATCTAATTGGTAGTGCAATTACAGGTGCTTCTTCTTGTACTTGATGAAGCGGAGCAGGTTCAGGCGCGTCTCTTTGACATGGGCCACGAGAGCACGGTCTAACTGCTTCTGCTCTGCCTTCAGTTTAGATTTCAACGCACTAGACGTGCGTTCTAGTGCGCTCAAGAAGTTGAGTGCGCAGAAAGTGTCGTCGAATTCCTCGTCGTCGTACACGTCAAAGATGGCGTTAAGCGTCTCGGCCACGACTTCGAGGCTCGAGTCATCCAGTCGAGATACCAGAGCGCGGCCCACAGCCTCCTTTTCAGCCGGACTGGAGCAGCGCTTGCCCACACAGCCGATCATACCAATAGCATTCAGTCGAGACTCAGCGGAGCGACCCTGGGCCGCGCAGTTCAGGATGAACTGGGCGTCCTCCGCAGCAACAGCCAGCTGGCGGTTCTCTGAGGTGCTACGACGCAATGCCGACAGCATAGCTGCAGTCACAGCGACTTCCAGGTCATTTGTTGCACTGCTTTCAAGAGTGAAATCGGTGGGAGTGGCTGAAGCAGCCTCAACCTCGCGATTAAGGTTCCCGTATAGTGCACAGAGGTTGCGGAAGATCTGGGGCATCACTTCCTCGCCGAGTACCTCCCATGATACGCTCAACAAGAGGTTGTTAACGGCGTTGCAGGCACGGATACGCATCTTTTCGAAGTCCTTAGCTAATATAGAAGACAAACAAGTTAGTTAGTGAAAGAAATATAAAGCGCAACAGAAATTTGAGGACTTACCGATAGACTTTGTTGAAAGTTGCGGGATCGACACGAGTCCTTGCAAGATGGTCACACATAGCGGGAACACGCGACTGGTTTCCAGTGACTTCGACACGGGGCTGCCAGCAGCACCAATTGCTCCGGCATCCATGTTGGACGCCGCGTACTCCTCCATAGCGTCCTCGTCGTCACTAGCCCACTCCTCTTCGTCGTCGTTCTCATCTCCTGACGCAGCCAACTGAGCGACCAGCTCCAGTGCCAATGTCAGAGTGTGCACACTGTCACGCCACGTACGAGCTTTCAGCTGCGCGGCAGTGATATTTTGCTCTTCCTCAGTAGTCAGAGTGTCGTCATCCACATTCTCGTCCTCCAGTAGGGATTTCTTCGAGAGTTCAAAGTTCTCTGATGCCTGTTGCGCCATCTGCACAACGTTCACGGCATCGTACGCGAGCGCCGCCTCCAACACGGGCATCATACGAGCCACATTGTCCTCCACCTGCATGATCGCCTGCAAGTTCATGGCGACACCCACCGCCTCCAGTCGCACCTGTAGCGACAGTTGATCTGCAGGTGCTTGGATTAATGCACCGATGGTCTGCTGGTAGGCGGTATTCGCTCCAATGATCTCGTTCAGCTGCGCATTGCCCTCTGTGATGAGCAACAACAGCTTGAGCGTCTCAAGATGCAGCGCAGTGTGGGTGCGAGCCTGTGCCGCGATCTTGAAGATGGGCGGAAGCAGATCGCCCTGTGTCAGCTCGTTAATGGCGGCTTGGCAGCTCTCGCACAGGTTGCCAAGCAGCGCCACAGCCTGTTCCAGTAGCTGCACGGCGCGCAGGTCTCCGCTGCCATTCAGTGCGGCGTCTGTGGCGTTTTCTGTAATGACCTTAACCAGCGGCGTGACGACGTTCTGTGTGGTCATGAGCTCGCACAGCTCCAGACCGCCGGTCACGCTCATGTTGCGTAGTGCCCCAAGCGCGTGTTGACGGACCATGGGGAGCGGGTCCACGACGCGCGGAATGAGCTTCTTGAGAAGACCGGCGTCCACCATACGCTGCAGCTTGCGGCGACTCGTAGCTTCGGCCTCATCGCTCTCGACGTCACCGAACATGGTGGCGATTGCCACGCACGTGGCCTCACGCACCGCGCCCTGCAAGTCCACGAGACCCTTGAACAGCTGCGCCTCATCCGCCGCCATAGTGCTCAAGTCCATAGCCTGCAATTCTTCGAGCTCCGCCGTAGACGGACCACCTGTTGGAGGCGCGCGCTTCTTGTGGCTAATGGAACGGAGCTTCTTGGCCTTGCCCATCGTGCTACGTCGATACAGCGAGAGTCCGAATGGCTACGCAGGACACGCCGCTTCAGCCAACCAAAAAGTGATGCATTTCAACTGTCGAAAGTGTGTGCCACATCATAAAAACTTCTGTCAAACCCTATGCTCCATCGCCGGGCGATAACCCTACAAATTTATTTTAATAAGATTTGTAATTAACTAGGGCTGTGCGAGGGCTGGGATAGCCAACAGTTATTAATAAGTTTTTTTTTTCTTTTTGAAGGAGTGAAGCTCTCATTTGCTAGGTTTTAAAAAAAGGAGAGGGGATAGTACCATAATATTATGTGTTTATCCGTGTAAAAAATTTTGTCTCGTATTTTAGATTTGCTAGAATTGTTTTTACTATCTACTTCCTCTGAAAACAAAACGAAAAAATGTTAAAATAATGGTTTTTGATTGATCAAAGATCATCAAATCTTGGACGCTGATTGGCCCAATTGTCGTTTATCGGTATCCGTTCGGCTGGAGGCGCAGGAAATGCCGCTGCGACTGAATGATAGCAGTGACGAACACACATAGGTGTCTTGGATAAAGTGAGCTAAATTCCCCACAAAAACGGAAAATACGAATGCATTAAAACCTTAACAGTGGTGGAACCAGCTACTCGCTAAGAAGGGGCGAAAAAACGTGTTTGTCCGGTAAGGAAGCATACCACTGGCGCAGATCCTCTGCTCGGGGTAAAGCAGGTTCACAAACAAGGTCAGAACCGACGCCCATAGAGATCGACCTATGATGGTTATAGTCGGATAAATTACCACTGTTGATGAGAGCAACGCTTCCCTCAGACACGTCGCAGTTGGGCAGTGTGTCCCAAACAACGCTAACGTCGGAGTCATCGACCAACAAAACCTCACGTTTATCAAGCGATTTTACCTTTCGCGTAACAATTCGTTTCAGCGCTCCAATAGAGTGAGCGACAGCGCAAGTAGATACAGCGGACCCAGCTGCGCGCCATGCCAGGTCAGCAAGACGGGCGCAATCGAGATCAGGTATGTCAGCCATTTGGTAAGACGCCGGACTTATTACTGAACCAGAGCCGAAAGAAATTTCAATTTTTCCATCACTAGACGCAAAAACTGGTTTTACACGGCCCCCTGAAAAGCGCTAAGTCGATCCTGGGGTAACAACATTTTTATATCTGTCCACAGCGTCGTTGAAGAGGGTGACACGAATACTGTCTTTTGCTGAGTCAGCGACGTACATCTCGAGTAATGAACCTGCATCATGGAACGTCTTCCAATTGCGTATGGGATTCCGAGCGTACACGCGACCAACAAAAGCCCAAGGCGAAGGCATGCCAGCCTTGAGGTCTTTAATGGGCAGAAGCTGAACACCATCTTGCTCGTGGTGATTACGAACACCATTTCCAGTCTCACTGCTGCTATTAGCACAATCTGGCTCGTAGGGAATATCCGCAACAACACCACCAACTCCATTGTCCCCAACCACTGCTTCACGAACAGTGCCTTCGATTGAGCTGTTGTCGTCCCCCATGGGCTTGGACACGTCCTGGACCAGGAGATCAGGCGTTTTCGACGCGACGGAAGCACCCTTGCAACGGGTTTTGGTCCCACCAGCACCCCCAACGTCATTGGGTTTGACCACACCTTTCAGGTTACCACAAACAGCGCCTTCAGTAGAGTAGTTGCCATCACTTTCGGACTTGAATTCGTCTCGGACCGTGACATCACGCGTCTTCGCCTCAACGGAAGAACCCCCCCCCCCCCCCCCCACCTCGGGATTTCGCAACACCAACGCTTACCCCTTCCCGTGGTATCGCGTGTATATCGTTCAAGAGCGAAAGAGCGCTATTTGGGGTCTTCCCCACATGACGGGCAGTTGGCGCGATTTGGCGCTTAGCGTGATCTTCGACCGCATCAGCTTTCCTCACTCTGATAGGTTTAATTGACATGTGTCCCCAAATGCGATAAGGAAGCGAAAGTTAAATCCACCTACGGAGCTACCCGGTGCCCCCCCCCCCCCCCCTTCACCGATGCAATGAGAGAACAATATATGAGAAAAATCTCGGAGGTCGGAGAAGAGAAGGACTAGAACGTGCTGCATTTGATAGAGGAAAGAAGTAATCGGATAATTTCATTGAGGACTTTTACCAAGTAAATGTTGACCTAAGAGCTCAAAGCCAGTAGATAATCTTTCAATGAAACACAGAAGCAACTCGTGATTCTCAGAAAAAAAGACGAATTCGAGTAGAAGGTTCTAGATTGATGACGTCAATCGGATCTAAAGTGTTCATTTTGATGATACCTTAAGTATCTGAACCCTAGAGTAACGGTTAGACTGGAGCTGCATTCCATTTGCGACGACCAAATGGGGCACACACTGAAATGTATTGTCGGCTCCCAAGGGGTATGCGCAAGAACATATTTTTCAGATCTAAGCCGAAATAAGTTTTCTGCAAAGACGAAGAGAAGATGAAATTATAAAGATGCGCGATTAATTATCAGTGAAAAAAGCTGCCTGGATAATAGTAGCCGTCCAGCCGTTGTGCTTTGCGTTTGCAAAAACCGTCCGCATATTCACTGTCGTTCTATAGTTAGCAGCTATCCATCGCGCCGTATGCAAATCCCCTCTGACCACAACGAAGCGGAACGCCTCCTCTGATGGTTCTTCTGTGCGGTTCGCATGAATAAACTCAAGTATCATAAGGTCGCCTCTTGATGCTGCCAGCGAAGTATCGAGTGATGACCGTGGCAGACAGCGACATCCATGGCTGCAAATGTGCATCCTTCTGGACGGGCATCGTGCAGCCACTTTACAATGTTCAGCTGATTTTGAGCCGCCGCCCAGTCCATAGCGTTTGTAGACCCACTCCCTAGACTCTTGGCAGTCAACCATCGAGCCACGCGTAGATGACCGTTGGCGCACACGTGATCAAACGTATTAAAGGAACTCCCTCAAGACGATTAAATACTAGCCACTGAAGAATGTTAAGATGCCCTCGGATTGCAGCTAAGAAGGACGCCTGGCTGGTACAACCCTCACCTCGGTTTTGATGGAGCCAGTGAACAACTTTAAGGTGGCCGTGAGCTGCGGCACCGTCCATTGCTTCTATTGTACACCCCTCCGACCGGTTAACGTGTAGTCATTTCACTAGCTGCCGCATAATCCAATGCAGAGAAAGTTGCAATGGAACGGTGATATTGGGCCCATTGAACAAAATCAATATCTCCACGTCGAGCTGCGAAGTCGATCGAAATGATCGGCGGGCCGACGGTGGGGTCTCTGAGCATCCATTTAGCAAGCGATAGCGAGGCTCGTGACACAGCAGTGCTCACATATGTCTGACTCGGCTGTAACTGCAAAACCTGCCCCCAAAGAAACTCGGTAATCTCAGTATGACCACCAACAAGTGATACCAGGAGCACCTCGAAGAGCTCTTTCACGCTTACAGGAGGAAACCGCTGGATAAGTAAGCGGACAACGGGTAATATACCGCTACCTACCGCTTTTCGCGTAATATTGGGTTCCCAACACACGCGGTGCTGTCGTAAATACAACCATTCCAGAACGTGAAGGTGGCCACTAGCAGCAGCTTCGGTTGCAGCCATGCTGATAAGTACATCGGGAAATAGTCGGTCGAGCGTTTGCATTTGCTGCAGCAGGCCACTACGTGCAGCAAAGCGGTGACAGCGGTCGCATGGTGCATCCACAATAGGCGATGAAGGAAGCCGGCAAGCCAATCGAAGTAACCTGTACGAAAAAACTCGCTTGCACACCTTCTCCATAGTCCATGACGAGAAATGAACTCACAATTTCCCCAACGTGTTCTAATCCAGCGAGCCGACCATCCTGTCTACAGACAGCAGACGCCGATTGCAAGATCATACTAGTCGATTTGCCGTCGTGTTGTGTGCTTGTATAACGGGTAATATCTGCCAGCGCCATTGGGAAATGAAACCTGAGTCAATCCTTTGGAAGTCTCGGTGTTGAGCCAGAATAGTCTATGTACGTTAATCGCGTAAACTTGCTATATAGTTCTGAACTTCAAGAGTCTATCGAGGCATATTTATCGTATTAGCTAGGTTCACCACCCCTCAATCATGAAAAAACAACAGTGCGTTGGAAACATCTCTTACAAGGTCACGTTGTACAAAGTTTTTTTTTTTCTTTTTCTGCGCGATTCTCACGAAAACCAGCTGCGTACCCAAGTAAGAAGGTCAGAGCGCCTTTGAAGTACTTGAAGCAGAATTTACTACTTCATCGCGAAGGAAATATGTCTTGGAAGCGCCGGCAGGTAAAAACATCGCTTCATGACTTTTTTTGCCCGGGTCACAACCTCAATGGGTAATACGATTGAGACTCGTACGAAAGCGTGGTGCGCGGAGCAGCGGTGGATTAGCAACAATATTGGTTGCTTGGAGGAAAGCGAGTGGAGAGCTGAAAAGTGCACCTGCACCGTCGAGTGTACTGCGCGATGTAACAATAGACGCAGACGCGTTCAGTGTGATCAGGACAAATGCAATCTTAGCACGTGTGGCAACCGACCGTGGCAGCAATATGAAATAGCAATTCCGTTGCTGGAGATAAAACCAACCATTGAAACAGGATTCGGGGCGTTCGTCGCACAAAACATTGCCAAGGGAGCCATCATCAGAGAATATGTCGGTGAAATCATAAACGGTAAAGAAAAGGAGCTACGAGAGAGCCTAAAATCCTGTCTTTATGTCATGCAGTACGGAAACGGTATGTATATCGACGCCGAGCACTTCGGAAACGAATCTCGCTTCTTCAATCACAGCTGTGACCCTAATTGCGTTGCGGAGGAGTGGACCGTAGCCGGATTGTATCGGATCGGCGTCATTGCCACACAAGCAATGAAAAGGGGGAAGAAATCACATTTGATTATGGTGGCAGTTACAACCTTGAAGTATGCAAGTGCAGGCGGTGTCATATCTGACCAACATTGCCACTATGAAATCTATAATAAAAAATAAACCCCAAGTTCGTGTTATTGATTATCAAATCTCCACTTAGTCGTGAAAATGTCTGGTCGAAGATTCCGCAGCGATTAAGCCGAAAAGCGCCGGTCAATGGCATGCACCGCAGATTAGACACGGACGTCACTCTAGACATCCCAACGTAAATATGCTCGAACTTCCATTTTGGTGCGGTTGCGCGGATCGGCTCGAGATTAAGCACAACTCGTTTAAGAGTGGCACCCTGGGCTTTCCACACTGTCATCACCTGAGCTTGATCAACTGCATGCTGAATGAACTCCATCTCGACGGGTTTGTCCAACACTCCGAATCCAAGCTTAACGGTCGATTTACGCTGCGGATTTTTTGCGATGCCTACGGGGATAATGATACTTTTCTTATAGGAGCGCCCTGACGTCGTTTCAACAAATTCCGATTCAAGGTTGTTCTCGCACGGCCAATCTTCATCCGTTCGGAGATCTCCATCGACCTTGACAAGCTGGATGTTAATAAAATCGGGAGGGAACGACAAGTCGATAACGTCTGAAGTGATGAGCCGAGCTTCATCCACAATCCTTCTCACTTGGTCGCGCTTCAAGCGGTCCTCCCAGGCTAACGAATGCATCCTACACGACGTTCCGTTAGCAACACCCCAACTAACGTTGTCGTTATTGTTATCTAGTACTTGGCCAGGTGCCCCAGCTACGAAATACGCAAACAGTTCCGGGTTCGCATCTTTGTCGTAGACCATTCTCTCCAGTTCGGGTGAAACATCTTGTTTTAGTTCTCGTTTCCAACGAAATAACAGCTGTCGATGCCTCTTCGCATAGAGCCGAGCCGTACAACCCGTTAAGACAGCTTTGTCGAAGTTGCTTGTGACTAAAATTGTCATGTCATCAAGCCAACCGGGGTCTTGTTTTACAGTGTCGATGTCAAGCTCCGTCGTCACACTCTTAACCACTTGCTGAGTTACCGGTCGAAATGTCTGCTTTTCAAGAGCCGACCAACTATCCCCAGATGGCCGAGCAGCAGGGAGAACGCGACACGATTCCAGATTCGCTTGCTGGATTGGGCAGCTAGCTGCTCGATGCTGCTGAGTCAAAAAGTACGTTTGAAACTTGCGGAACAGTGCACGGGCACTCAACTGCGCACTAGATCGCGTATCCATATAAAACATTTTGCACAATGCTATCCCCGATGTAACTTTCAGTTGTAAGAAATCACCGCACAATATGACCGAACGTCCTCCAAAAGGAAGGTTGTTACGGTATATTGCTCTCAGTCTTGTATCGAGAAGTAGCAAATACGCGGAGCAGAGCATCGACACCTCATCAACAACGATAAGCCACACTCGATCAGTAAATGATAAGCTTAACAACTCCACATTATTAACACTGAGAACATCTCGCGCGGCTTTGAATGCAGAATGAAACGTTCTCCCTTTCTGCAGGTGCAACGCACCAACTCCGGTAGGACATGTATTCACTGTTTCGATACCATATCTTGCCAACGTTGTCACAATGCGACAAATCAAAGTCGATTTTCCCGTTCCGCCGCCGCCGTGTAAAAGCGTTAGTGTCTGACGAAGTTTTCTATCCCCGTCAATACTCTGTACTACGCGGTCAAACACTAGACGTTGATCAGGAGAGCACTTGCCACGTTCAGATGCATCCTGGCTCACACCTTCAAGGTTATCCAAAGCGCTTCCAGACGGTACAGAAATTCCAGTAGCCAGGTTTGGACCCAACATCGGACGAGAATCACCTTGCGGTCTCATCGCATTTATCGAGCGTGCAACCTGCGATAGGCTCCGTCCCTCTTCAAGGTTGCTTTGAAAAATTGGATCGCAAGTGGACTCTGTTTGAGTGGTGCCACCAACATCACTTGGAATAACGGACCAAAAATCTTTTCTGAGCGATTCGACCGCGCTCGCCACTGATGCAGCCACCTTCAGGTTGAACAGCTCCTCAGCACAAACTTCTAGCGGAGTTTCGTGTTCTATTGTGTCCTCGTGATCCTGCCCTTTCTTATTCGTCGATTGACCTTCGGCCGGTATGACCCAATTTCGACTCCTCCACTCAGAGCAAGTCTTCTCATTTGTGGATGAGCGGCTCCGTTTCTTCAAAACGTTGTGAAGATATTGATATCGCTTCCTACTCAGAAAGCTGGCAGATGCTGAATTCCAGCTCTTACATACGCGAATTAACTCGTGCGAGGACACATCAGGTGCCAATTTCGGATTGCCAAGACCCCAACACAGCAGATATTTGCTTAGTGCAGGTGAAGACCGGCCATTCTTTGCTAGCGGCGGCGGCGGAGTACCTCCTAGCATTGGGGTTTTGAATTTCGCGCGGATAAACCCTTGGTAGTGCGGGGCTAATGGATGACTTGGAGACAGATCAAACCCTCGTCGTTTAGGACGCCCACGCGACGATGGTTCTCTTTTGCAATCCCGGCGAGGCAAAAGGTCAACTATCATTTCAAATTCCAGAGGCGAGTAATCAGCAAACCATTTTCCGCGATGCCAATACGAATCCGATTGAGTAACCACGACCATCTTCCCATCGTTCAATCGAAACATGCGCGATCCCGTGTGCGTTACACCATTCATATCAGCAGAAGAAACCTCATTTTCATCAGCAGACGCAATAAGAGCCTCAAGCCTTTCATGAATTGACCCATCTTCCTCATCATCGTCGCCAGTCACGTTTCCGATCTCACCGTCCTCCTCTACCTCCGAGGCGCTCTCATCCTGCACGTGCAAGTTCTCAACATACTGGACTAGTTTGTGAGGGAAAACGAACCAACAGGTATCACTGGACAAGAACGATCGGTGTTCAGCTAGGCATATACCATTAGAGAATATGACCACTCGTTCGCTCCACTGAATGCATTCACAGTCCTAGCAGCTAGGTGTTTCGCCGTACGTAAATCTGTCCCTGTGTCGGGGGCGACGCTTGGAAACTTCAGAATATGGCTAATAGCCGAGTGCATGGCAGAGATTGCATGTTTTAGACCACCCTTTTCCTTTGACATGTAAGCCTGCTGATATTCTTCGACCATATCCCCGGCGTCTTCACCGCTCATAATAGCCGAGTTTGTGTGGGAGTCGGTCAAACATGCAAGAGAAAGATTTGTCTCCACAAACATGGCATCTTGCGGTGGTCGATGCTGCTCCCACACAATTGCACCATTTGTATGTTCGCGGACTATTCTCTTGTTTGTATATGCCCACTTCTCGTCGATAAAATTGGCAAGAGCACCAGTAACTGACCTCACATCAAAATCAGCTCGTTGACGCTTCCCGAGAACGCTAGCCGCTTTAAGTCGTACGCAGAGAGGTTCAGTGGCGCCCTCGTGAATCCCAGCGGGTCTAGCGAGCCGGCAAATCCATCGACCGCGTAGCCCTTTGCGGCATGTTGCGAATGAGAATGCGTATTTGTCGACATAACTCTTCTTTCCGCCGCACGTAAAAATCCATCGTAGTCATAACAAGCGGAAGGCACCTCAACTTGAAAAGCACGGGCCATTTTCCCTTCGTGAGCCTGGCACCACATTCGAGCATCATTTGTAGTAGTTGTGCATGAAACTGCACTTAAGTACTGTCTCGCTCCTCGTACAAGTTCCGGGCTTCTCGCCAGCAGAGAAGGATTTACTCCAGTAGCGTAGATTGTCATATGTACGTGTAGACGCCCGTCCACCTGAGGCTCAACGACAGCGTTAAATGCCACACACCGGCCATATACCCCCTTTTTAGCCTCCAGAAAGCTAGAGCTTGCTCGCGTGGACCCTGAGTCGCGGCACCGTATAATGTTTTCTGTTAGAGATTTCACCTTTCTCTCAAAAACCTGAGCCGATAACGCGGGATATAAAGCAGAAACACTAAGGCGGGCTCGAGCATCCGTTCGAATAACATCAGGAAAATCGGTAAAGCGGCAGGTTTTTTTGAAGAAAAACACTATTCGGATCGCTCCACCCTCTATTCTGCCTCATTTGGGCAACACGATGAAGCAGTAAATCATCATGTTCTGGTGCTGCTAGTGTAACCCAATGAAGAGCAATACCATATCGATAACGCATGGCGCCGAGTTTCGGCCTAGTCGCAGCGCGCTCGAACGGAGAGAATGGGACTGATCCGCCAACCAATGCTAATAACCTTAATAGAGACGCGTTCATTCTGCCAGCTTCACGAGAATCAGGATTCGACTTTGCAAACTCTAGTTCGCGCTTAAACTTTTCCGTACTGATGAGCCTCCCAAATTTCGCCATCGTCCTTCCATGCGTCAGACCGACACGTGCTGCTTTTCGTACCGCGGCGTGGCGTTGCAGCTGATTGAAGAGCATGGTTGTAAAGGTCACGGAACGCTCAAATCGACCATCCCAATAACGCAAGAGGTGGTCAACATAGCCCTGAGGGAGTGGACCTGACGGCAACGGGCTTGACCCGGTCAAAAATAAATGGGGGAATAAGCCAGCCAAAAGTTTCGCGTTACCGGTTTGTCGTAGTCGTAAGAGTCGCTTAGTCGTAGGGGTCATTACCTAAATGACCAATCACAGGGCTCAATCCTAAACAGACGGAAATTCTAATTTTAGATGGTTGGACGCATAAATCGTTGGTAGAAACACATTCACCAGCAAACCCAGCGATGCCTCGGCCTCGTATCAACGGAACTGGCAGGCAGCCCAGGAAGTATTGTCGGATTGCTGTAGCGTACATCCACAAGAAGGAGGTCTTAGATTACATTGGTGCGGGAAATAGTCTCGATGAGACTATCAATCATTTCTATGGAGAGCTGGATCATAAGCAACGGCGTGCCAAAAACCAAAAACAAATTAACAAGTGGATCGCACAAGAACATCGGATCCGTGATGCATGCTCCTCGGGACGAGGAACGCACCGTAACTTGCGCCATCGTGGGGAAGCAACTGTCTTGCCGAAATCTATTGAGGAGGGAATTGTGCGATGGATCAACGCGTTGAGGTAAGAAGGTGCCCCTCTCTCCCGTTCCATGCCACAGATGTACGCAAAAGATGTCGCTAATGATAACAGAATTCCATTTACTCAGTTTGGAGCTTCTGGTACATGGATAAATTTTTTTTTACGAAGACACAAACTTTCTTTTTGTACTCGAACACGCCAAGGCCAGACAACACCGGCTGATGCTGAAGAAGCCGCCGCTAAATTCCGTGCAGAAGTTCTGCAAATTATGATCGAGAAAGAGTGCACAATGGTGTATAACGCTGATCAAACTGGTAAGACACTACAATCATTATTATTTTGTTATTATTTCTTGACACGCATTTCTGTATATTAATTAACGTGTGCTATCATACCGGTAGCGATATTTTTCGAGTATCTTCCTAGAAAAACGATCACCTCTCGTGGAAGCAAGACTGTTTGGGTTAAGTGTGGGAACAAAGAGAAAGTTCGCGCTACTGCGATGCTGTTGGGTGACTCGGAGGGTAATAAGTACAACCCCTTTATCATTTTTAAGAGTAAGCCGGCCACAATCAAAGAGAAGCAAGCCATCAATAATGCTATCCGGAATGGCTTTGGAGAGACTGTGTGGCGAGAGATAGAGCCATTGCAGAAGCAGCACAACTGTCGGATTTATGGGAACGGCACTGCTTGGTGGAACTCCGGCCTTTCCATAGACTTTTTGAAGTATCATTTCGCTGGTCGCGAAGACATGACTGAAAGTGTTTTACTTTTATGGGACGACTTCAGCGGTCACTGGACCAAAGAAGTCGTCGATTACGCGGCAAGCATCAGCGTTATTCTTCACAAAGTTCCGCCCCGGTACACGTACGTGTGCCAGCCAGCAGATATAGCGTGGAACCAACCACTGAAAAGCCGGCTACGTGAACGGTGGGCTTTAATGTTGAAGACGCAGCTAACCCAGTATCGAAAAAAAGAATCGGAACGACAGTAAAAAAAGAGAAGAACTTACAAAAAAAAAACTTCGGAAGCTCACAAAAATCATACACAAGAAGAAGACCCCGCTGTGATAGCAAAACTGCGAGCTAAATATAAAGAAGAAGCGTTCAAACTCAAAGCCCCGGGGCGTCCGATCATCACAGAGTGGATAACGGCGTGCTGGTCCGGACTGAGCACTACTACGATATCTAATGGCTTCAAGAAGGTTGGTTTACTTATGGACACGCGCACAGTAGAAGAAGTTTTGGAGCCTGTGAGTGATATCGACGCTACAGTTGAAGAGCTGGTCCAACTAAAGCTAATCGAACATTCAGTAGAATCCGACGATGACATTGATTGTATTGGAGGTGACTCAGATAGCGAGTCTGACTAACTCAGAAACTCAATTTTAATCACTTTAATAGATAAAAATTAAATCTTTAGCTCACGACAACAAATCGCTGCTTTCACCATCTTCTTTGGTAATCTTGTGTGTGTGCAGTGACCCTTACGACTACGACAAACCGGTACCCACCCACTCCACAAACGGTGACTTTCCCCGCTTTATTGGAATGATGGCAGTATCATCTACCGAGTGACTCGATCCAACCGCGCTCGCCATTGCATCGATAATATCGTGGGCAATTGCGGGATCACTTTGCTCAACAGGAAGAACGGCAGACTTCCGCACAAAGACCGTGTCCGTTAGCTCTCCTTCGGGAACGTGCTCGTCGAATTGTGCTGAAGCCACCTCGTCTAGAGAATCCGAGGTTACCGAGTCCAAAACTTGGACGTCGCGTACGATAGCGGCATCTAGCTGGCTGAACAACTCTCGTTGCCTCGGGGAATCCTCGATCTGAATGACCTCCTTTTTGAAGACATTGTTCACGTTAACCAACACGTTCAGCCATTGGTACACACTGTCCACCGGAATTTCATACAGCTTTTTAAATTTCTTCTTTTGAACCCGCCAGGTTTCACGTGGTCCAATAAATGTAATCCTCGGTGCGCATGAGCCGTCTACCTTCGGTAAAAGACGGGCGATTTCGCACGGTCCGTTCGTCGGAAAGCAAATAGCGTGGCCCCTTGAATGCCTGCCGGACAATGACAATTCCAGGCCGAAGCAACGCGCCGGCGAAATGTAGCTAAAGCAACATCACACAATTCAGGCAATCGGCCAATTCGACCATAATCGTGCCCCGCAGCAACACTGAATTTACTCGTCCGAGGGTTTTTGTGACACTTTTCACACAAAGGATTCTTTTCACCATCATTCAACAACTCCAGTATCAAGTAGTAAACATCCGATCCACGAAAGTAAAGCTGCCGGTAACTACGCGCGTAAATCTTCGGCGTGTCAGCAAACAGTTCATTTCTCTCGTTTTCCGAAAGACGAATACCAGGGATTTCTTGTAGTCCGGAGAAATAGACCTTCTCGGACTTATTCTGCAACAAAACTCTACCACACGCAGCGCAAGCCCATATCGTCGTCGATTCAGGTGCACTCTCGAGCACCTCCTGCTGGCTCTCGGCAATGTCGGATTCCTTTGGGTAATCATCAAGAAGGCTGGAAATGCGTTCCCGAACAGCTTCATCGCCGTCACCTCGAAGTTGCTCATCGCCAAACACAAATGATCCAGGATCAGTCCCGCAGCAGTAATAATACGCGAGAGCAAGACGAGGATCCTGTACATAGTGCTGGTTTTTTCCCATCCATTCCACTTCATCCACCGTCAGCGCATTTATATGGAGCACCCGCTCGCTTAGCGCAGCAAGTTTCTCATCGTCTTGCATTTGCTGAAACGCAACACGGAGGTGGCGCGCATCTCGAGCTATGCGTGCGTTGTGAGCTACGCGGTGATGCCCTTCTCGTGGGCTGTCTCCAGCATTAGCAACCAGAGTCGGAGAAGCCGCTGGTTCATGCTGCTCATTCTCCGCCATGTCTACCTCGCGCTTTCGTGCGCGCCGCGCGCGCTGCTTAGCATTGCGTAGCTTCCGCTACTCCGTTCTCGTTTTCTTTAGCTTCTGCTCCGGAAGCAGCTTGTTCCCGGCGGGCCCGAGCTCTTCTCTCGCGCTGTCTTTCATTGCGTCTGACCCGGGTGGCCTCGGCACGATCCGCTTCAATAGCATTTAGAAATGTAAATTGAGTGTACTGGGTTTCACCCCGCGGATTTTCAGCGGTAACAAACCCGGTGTCGATAACGCCCGATTCACTTTCGAGCTGGAAATCGAGCCACCCACGCCTTTGCCCCTCCATGCCGAACGCGTTTTGGCCACGATAGTACCTAGCAGGACTCCCGCCTTGATCGACGGTTCACGACACGCACACATCTCGCTTGATGGGCCGTGACCATAGCCAGAATCTTCAATGTAGTGCATAGTCTTCATACAGTAGCCATATTTGCGGAAAGTTCGTCGCTTCTTTTCAGTACTTTTACCACAGCTCATTCATCTTCTCCTAATACAGTACCACAGTGCAGTCACTTTCTCATAATAAAGAGGCTAAAGGTCGCGAACAGTTCGTCCTCAACTCCGCTGACCTGCTCCTGAAGCTCTGAGATCTTGCTCTTGCGTAAATCCACCGCCGTTGCGAACTTACGAAGCGCTGGATCGAATTTCCTCCACTCGCTTCTTCGCTTCATCGATCTGAGCTTGGATTTTGGGTCTCTTTGCTTCAGTAATCTCCAGGTCAGCTTTAGCGTGTGTAAGTCCAGTCACTTTCTCATAAGAAAGAGGCTAAAGGTCGCGAGCAGCTCATACTGGTAAAAAGAGGCTAAAGGTCGCGAACAGCTCATACCGGTAATAAAGAGGCTAAAGGTCGCGAATAGCTCACACCGGTAAAAGTATATGAAACGGCGGTTACCGGCATCAGTTTTTCGGCTTCAGTTACCGTCGAGCGAATTAACCTGATTTGGGCTGTCCCAGCAGCACAGAGTTACTGCTATCCCAGAAAAATTTAATTCATTGTGGTTTTCATCCATTTTGGCAAAATTTTTTTACCAACATTCCTTTTTGTCGGACCGATTTGTTGTATTCCTCCGATATAGAACATAGGTAAGGTAAGATCACTATATTGAGCCGGGTATGTCGCTGCGCACTTTGAATGTGCCAGAATTGCCGCCTTTGGACGGCAGAAGTGATCTGCCCAAATCATTCGCTAGGATACCTCCTATCGACAACTATGTCTAATCTAGTTCCCAGTGATGATCATAATATCGCTTTGCTTGACAATCGATGCAGGTTGGCATAAATTTAGTGGCTATTTACTCCTCGACTAGGCTACGCGTGGCTGGGTTAAGATCTGACCCGTTTGTTTTTCACCTGTAACTAACTAGTACCTCGGATACATGATCGTGACTACATATGAAGGATGAGCTAGAAAACACTCTAATAATCTGCCAGGTATTATTATCAATCCTACGAATGCTGAAATTGTAAAGGCTCGCACGCATAGAAAAGGTGCGATACGGAGACGAACGGGCATCGCTAATACTAGTATCGAGGACAAGAAAGCCATAATGTATTCGTACTTTGGCTGACGAGGCCCTACAGATCTTTGAATTATTAAAAAAAAATATCATGTCACCGAACTACGCATCTACTGAACCTGCTTCGCAGCCGCAGCATCTGCTCTGTGCTCGGATAGGAGCCAATTTCAATTCAATTAGACGGTTTGGTAGTATTTTCCTTGAGAAATTTCACGCTCATATATTTGTCTTTCAGCGTATTCAACCATAGCACACAGAATAGTGAAAGCGAATCTGTAGACGTGAGAAGCAGCTAGACAAAACTGTGTCTAAAGCAAAAATCCATCTTAAGTAGGTCTAGTAAAATTTTTTTGTCGAATATGAGGTATCGGTAGCTTCCACTATGAAGTACATGATTGTGTCATTCAACTTGACGTCAAACATAAAACTAAGCGGTTCGCCTCTTCCTTGTCACTGGCAAGCTATTACTCAAAAAAGAAAAATCGTTTCCTGTGGTTGTACCGGAAAATATATTGATATACCGGTATTAGATAAAGGATGGGATAAGTAGGACGAAAAATCTAGTACCCATTATGGAAGCATGGTTATTTTAATGTGAGGATGGCATATAGAAAAGGCTGGGCTTGTAAAGCGTGTTGTAGTGTTGCAATCGGATAGTAATAGAATTATCCCTTGACCATATCGTTCTGCATCAATGGCTGTTTTGGCTTACGCTCCACTGTTTAGAGAGACCTGGAGAGCGACACACTTACCCGTATCTGCTTGCATGTCAAAGTTGCGATCGCATGCTAATGCAGCTGTCGCAGAATTGTAGAAAAAATGTTAATTTGGTTAAGGTATCGATGAGTACGGTACGCTGCGTTGACTGTGCGACACATAACAGCTTCTCTACGCTATTTAGGGGCGGGCTACTTGCCACACATTTGTGTTGGGGTGTGCCACATTATGCTTATGTATCCTCTAGAAGTGTTTATTTTTGATCAAGATATCATGATCAGTGTCAGCTGCTACATAGACCGTGTGATGAGGAATTTCCATAACTCAGTATAAACTACTGAGATTTATGAATCGATTTGTGTAGTTATTCCGATATACCAAAAAAAAAAAAGAATTACTATTTTCCAATTCAGTAGTTCTAAAAATAGTAGTCACGTCGCGTGTACTTTGAAGTTTTAGGTAGGGCACTAATAACACGGAAGTTACTTTTAGATACCTGATCTTCAAAGAAAGAGTCCTGGCATCAGTTACAGCCATTCTTCACGCGCATTCTACCACTTACAGCCTCAGCTGTCCATTGGCACTGCATCCAAGTTGCCCAAATGACAAGTGTACGAGTGCGTAAAAACCTTAACCATGGAGCGGCTCAGTTCACGCTTGATAGCTCCGACTTGGCTATGGCAACAAACCTAGGATTGTTAAAGACGGACGTTCAGGTCCAAGACACGGACCCATCAAAATCAGACTTTGGTGTTGCCTATTGCCAACGTGCAAACGTAGCCTCAGAGACCCACGGAACCCAGAAGGCCATTCAAGCACGCTGTAAGGAATTTGCTCAATCCTGCGGGTTCCAACTTGCTGTTTCAAGCTACAGCAGCAAGCCGAACCAGGGTGGCAATGCAAAATACGTCTGTAAAATACTGAAGGGCATGCACTTTTACGACCACTCTATTGACCCCAACGACATAACCTGTCCGTTCTCGATCAACGTCAGTGGGATAAATGGAAACTGGAAAGTGACTAGAGTGAACTTTACTCACAACCATGTCAAGCACGTGGGATTTTCCGGGCGTCCATTTGCCGAGCGATCTGTCGCGCGTCCTGCCTCTGACATGAGAAACAGAGCACAAGATGTGGCAGCTTTGACCCAGCTTGTCGAGGATGAGATGCTACCTCGCTACGAGAATAAAACTGAAAGGATGACTGGGGCAGCTATCGCTTCGTTTCTGTTGGAAAATGCCATAAAATTGCTCTAAGTGCTATCTCTCGTATCAAGGCAGCCATTGATGAAAGGCTCCGTGGAAATCAGGTTGATAGCTATCAAAAGCTAGAAGATTATCTCATTGTAATGGCCGAAAAGAACCCAGGATCGATTTGGAGATTCGAGAAGGACGACGATTGGACTTTCAAGCGTGCCTGTTTTACCCCAAACATTCGGATCCGCGTTGGAAAATTGGGACTTTACGGCTTTGATGGCACTCACTTGAAAGGGGAGATGGACAGCTATGGGGTTTTTCTGGTGGCTACTACCAAGGATTATAACCAATTCATAACACCTTTTGGATTTTCGCTGATACCAGTTGAAAATAAAGACAACTGGATTTGGTTCCTCCAAGCAGTTAAGGAAGCTTTGGGTGATGACTTGGAATTCACAGCCCTTTCGGACCGGGATAAGGGCCTGCGCGCTGCTGTAGAGTTTGTTTTCCAAAAGCGGGTCAACAGATTTTGTCTTCGTCATATTAAGGGGAACATCGGACAGGTTCTCACGCAAAAAGAGAGAGTTATTTTCTCTAGAATGGCGAAGAGTGATTGCGAGAACGACTATAAGTTGTTTGCTTCTGAACTCAGAGTCACAAACCTAGCGCCGCAGAATACGTGTAGAAAACATTGGGTGAAATACGTATACTTGGATCACTTTCATCTACCAACTTACGGTGAGACTACGTCGATCCTTGCTGAACAATTGGATTGGCAATGAATGCAGGAGTACCAAGCCTCTGGACTCGTCGGGGCTTTTTTCCGCTAGTTGGGTGATTTGGTTTCGAGACAAAAAGCGAGGTTAAACCGTGCTTGGCTAGATCTTACAACGTCCTGCATCTTGGCCCTACCGCCGAAGAAGGATATGCCCACCCCTGGCGGTTAGTGGATTTACCAGCCTTAGAGTGTACCTGTGGAAACTGGCAAGACTTGGAATTTCCCTGTGTGCACGCTTGTGCTGCCGCCATTAAAGAAGGACAATCGCTGGATACTCTGTACAACAGTGAGCGAATGTCAATTGGCCACTTTAAAGAA